TGATTGTGTGCGGGCTGGTGAGAATGTAGCTAGGCCCAGTGTTGAGGTCGCACGCGTCTTTGGATTAGCCGGCGTGTTAACAGACCCCATACGTGGCCGGGTGTGTCCCGACGTATGAGGGGAGATATGATTGTGTTTGGTGTGTTATGATGGATAAATCCTAGAATGTATGAAATTGTATGGCGGTAATGGTTTATTTGATATTAGGAGCCAGGATAGATACAAAAGAGCTACGTGTGGCTTGATCCCTTAGTAGGGTACGTAGGCAGCCTGAAGTTACTAGGTGCTGCCACAGATTAGACCCCACTTAGGTGGTCTTATTGAGATTGGTTCGGACCTCGTTGTTGGTCCTGAAACTTGGTTGAATTGAGGCTTGTCCGGTGGACTGAGTGAGTGAAGGGGTGCATGAATAGATTTTGAATTTGTTATATGCATGTTTGATGCATTAAGTTATTCTTAAAAACATGGTGGGCAGTTCTGCTAGAATCATTTGAAGGTCGGAGGCCATTTGTGTAAATTGCATGAGATTATATTGTGCGTGCTGCCGGTTGGGTTATAAAATGTGTTTTATGCAGGTGGAAATTTTGAGAAATGTTAAATTTACAGGGGAGACTCTGCCGAAATTTCGGCAGAAAGTCTCGTGCCCTTAATCCTCTCTGGTAAACGAGCACATAGATTTAAGGAGTGAACTCGGCGTGGGTGTGATGTCGGGGTCTCCGCAGGGTTCGTCTCGGGTTCCGGGAAATTCGGGGTGGGTCCCGTCATAAATTGTATTTTGCACTAAAATTGATTTTTCATATTTCGATTTGTTGGGAATTTGATTTTCTAGTATTTTTATTTGAATCCAAATGAGGGTACTTCCTTATTTATATTGTAAACTTAGGTAAATTGAGTAATATAAAAATAAATTAAAGTAAAAGGACAAAGACATTTACTTAAATGCTGAAAATGGAAATAAGTTAATCTATACGCTTGGAGTGCTACCAGCTGAGCAAATGGGGAATTTGAAGCACTTGCAAACGGTTTTTCCGGTAAGGGGAAGCACAGCTGCACCTCCTTGTGCCTTAATAGGTCCGCGACTGCCCCGACCCCACATCCCTTCTACCACAAAAAAAACACAAAAAAAAAAAACCCGCAACAATAATAAATCTTGAACAGTTACAGGCGCCAAGCCTTGTGCATCAAAAGTTGTTTCATATTACCAATAGGGAGTCATTCTATAGTGAAGGCCTTATATATGGCCGAAGTCCTATTTCTTAACCATTTGATCAAGCTAACTAATCTAACGACTACTAATTTAATTCAACGGTTTAGAGATAGGGTCTTGCCTAAAGACCATCTATAAGGCCCTCACTATATAATTCTTGCACAAATGGGATGTTAGTTGGATTGGCCCTAGTCTCTCTCCTTTCTCCCCCATCCACCTCCAGCCCCTAGCCCCCCGCCCCAAGTTCCAACCCAACCTCCAATATCCCCCATCCCCAACCCACTCCCCCCCCTGCCGCCCCCCCCACACACAGCACCAAATCCCATACCCAGACTGTAAGAATTGGGTTTAGTTGAAGCCATGAACGCTGCTGCTGATGAGCATGGGATGACAAGGCAGCAACTAAGCAAAACAAAAGAAAAGAACTGGTTTTTTCTTTTTAATATCTGAAACTGGTTACCTCCTCCTACTCCAGGTTTTTCCTTATGTTTCTTGAATTTTAAAATACAAGGAAAATACATATATGCCCTGACTGCACCGGTGAGCCACTGTACCAAAAAAAAGGAGATGGTGAAAATGCTGCTACTAGAAATGAGGGATCCGAAACTTATTGGCCAAGCTGGCCAAGATACTCCCCAATCTACCACTTCCACTAGGTCCTTCTCCATCAATGTTGCTACTGGACTGGGTCACTATTTGGTTGAACTCTTCCGCATCTTGCTCGTATACCAAACGGGCGCTACACCTCTTCACCAAGCAGGAGCCTGAGCTTTTGAAAGAAAATATTAACTGATTGCAACTGCTATTTTGCCACTCTGTACCAAAGCTTATATCACGAGACACATAGAATAGCCAAAGATGATCTGACTTGGGCTGGACATCAGTTGATAATAGAGGTGCAGGGTAGTCTTCTTTTCCATTGACTTCCAAAACACAAGAAAGATCCCACCCACTGCCGAAAACTTGAAAAACAGCGCACAGAGCATATCCCATCCACTTAGTATCACGCCAATGCGGCGTTAGCTCAACAGTTGTTGAAGATCCCATTCTTTGATGAGGGAACCACCAAGGAATTTCACTTCCAGGAATTACAATTTCATATCTATCTCCTGCAGCATAAGAGACTCTCTGTACAGGAGAAACTGTGATGTTAAACAATGAGAGAGAGAGAGAGAGAGAGAGAGAGAGAGAGAGAAGCACCTTAAGGTATCTTTGGAGCATGGTACATGTTACATGATTGTAGCTTTCTTTCCCAACCATTCCAAAGCAATTGATGAAATTGAAACCTGATGAATTCACTCTGTTCAAATTCGATGGAGATTGCAGCAATTCTAGTGAAGTACAACCATCTGCAGTTACTTCTAAATTTACTTCTGATGAAAGGACTGGAAGGTGTCGAAGCCTCTTGCAACGACTCAAGTATAAATTCTCAAGCTTAGAAAGTTGGCCAATGCTTGTAGGAAGACTAAGAAAATTGTTTCCACTTAAGTTCAATGATACTAAAGAGGGCAAGCAACCAATATCACTGGGGATTGCTCCTTCCAAAAGATTTCCATCACTTAAATCTAATTCCTTTAAAGAAAAGAGCCCTGATAGAGGAGGCAAGAATGGCCTCATAGGCTGAAGGCTCTTCATTGGAAATATTTGAAAAAGAAGGGACATATACCATGATTGCTGTGACAGCCCTTTGGGTCCACGAAAAAAAAATGATTCAAGGTTTCCCAGAAGGCCAAAGGAAGATGGCCATTCTTCAGCAGTTCCACCCATTCCCCGTTTCCTTTTAGAGCTTGTTGCCATTTTGGCAAGTTTTGGGCACCCAGAAACATTAAGAAATTTAAGAGACTGCAACTTGCCAATCGTACTCGGAAGACAATTCAGATTGATGCAATCTCTCAAATCCAATGAAGAAAGGCTAGTCAAATGTTCAATTGATGAAGGTATACTTTCAATAGCAGTCCCATCTAAAGAAAGCTTCCGTAAATGCTCCATAGGATCCACAAAATTAGAAATCTTTTTAACTCTTGAGCAACCAGAAAGAATAAGAACTTCAAGGCATTCCATTTCAATCTCATCTGGAAGAAGCTCAAGACTTTTGCAATCTTTAAGATTCAAGAAAGTAAGCTTTTTTAGAACTCCTACGGAAAAGTGAATCTCAACTAGACTTTCGCATCCCTCAAGATCTAATCTCTCAAGATTTTGGAACCCTTCGAAATCTGGGGTTTTAGTCAAACTTTTTGAATGACTAAGTTTGATCACTTTCAACTTTTCAAAATTCTGTAAAAGTTACAAGAAGTGTAAAATAATTAAATTCAGAACAAATATATGTTTACTCAGAGAAAATAAATAGATCATATTGTAGTTATAGACTTATACCTTTGTTCCAGTCCAAAGTTGTTCAATGCTACTATGACACATGTTGAGTTCAACAAGATTACTCGGTTCGAAATCTAGAGGGAGAGAATTTAAAGGGAAACCTTTCCACTTCAGAAATCTCAACGAATTAGGAAGACATCTGAGACGTTTCGGAAGGTGCACATTATGAAGTTTAAGCAATCTAAGATTAAACATCTTAGAAAAAGCTTCAGGATGGCATTGTCCCTCTTTAGATTCCAGCTTCTCTAGGACAATGCCTTCAACTGCTGGTGTCCCCTAATAACCAAGAATGAAGAACAAGTGAGTTGGCATAATAGGAAAAAAAACAGAATACATGATCCAAACATTATAAGGAAAAACAGAGTAGTTAAATCCATAGTCTGTTTTAAACTCTGTTTTTTGCTAGATTCATGATGTATCCATGTAAGGACATACCGTATTTTTGCTCAAAACATGAAAGATGTCCCCAGAAAGCCACAGCCTGCTATGTTCACCAGGCTCTTGAGATTTCTGACGAATAATTGCGCGACCCAATTCTTGTAACAAATCATGCATCCACACCATGTTATGTGAAATTGTTATTAGTGACCTCTTCACAAGGACATCTATGTCAATACCTGGATGAAAGCCACAACTCTCTAGTATTTCAACTACTCGGTCTTTGTACTTTCCTTTAAAGAAACATGAGATATCAAGGAAAATATCTTTCTCCTGCTTATCTAATCCCTCGTAACCTACATTAAGTGGATTCATAATTTCTCGATTTAAATCATCCTCCATTTTATGCAATTGACTGCTTAATGCATCTTCACCTCTTTCATGCACAAGAGATCCCCAGACTTCAAGAGCTAATGGATGACCATTGGCATAATTCACATAACGTTTAGACAGATCCATATGACTTGCTAGCGGATAATCTGTTTTAAAGGCTCTCAAGCTAAAAAGTTTAAGAGCATCATTGTCATTTAGCCCCTGCACCTCATATCTTCTTTCTACACCATGTGAAATTAGCAAGTGTTCATTTGTAGTCGTAATAATGATTCTACTCCCTTGACCAAACCAAGTTGGGCTCCCACACAACTTTTTTAACTGACTCTTATCATCCACATCATCAAGAATGAGAAGAACCTTTCTTCCCCTGAAGAAATGTCTCATTCTGGCTTCTTCATCACTGTTCCAGTCTTCTATATTTCTATGCATGAGGTTATTGGAAAGCTTTCTCTGTAGATCGTCAAGACCATGTGCTTTAGAAACTTCTCTAACTCTTTCGCGAAAGCTTTTGACTTCAAATTTATGAACAATCCTCTCATAAGCTTTTCTGGCAATGGTTGTCTTACCTATCCCACTCATCCCCCATATCCCTATAAAGTGAACATCATTTGACTCTGGATCTAAAAGCAAATCTAGTTCCTTCAATTTTGAATCAATTCCAACCAGTTTTTCTGCAGGCTCCAATGATATAGGGCCTACTTCAATTCGTACCTTTTCAACAATTTCTTTGATGAGATGTGGTTCATATCTACAAGAAGAAAAGACAAGTTTCAAGGCATGACCTAAAAGAGAAGGACATTCTTCGGTTTTCGTTATGCCCATTATAATGATCTTGATGAATGTTTTCATGAAATCTACGAACTATTTTTGTAATACGTTTTTTATGCATCAGGTTTTAGCAACATTCAATGGAATTCGGGCTTGTCCAATATAGATCCATACATTTTCTATTTCCTAGACATATACCCATCACTCTATAAATCTATGTGTAAAACCCAATTTCAAATTTAAATGACCAGTAGAATATAAGAGGTCGTAGTATTTATATGTTTTTGCATCGTTGCCACTAAACTTCATATTTTATTTATAATTTATTTCAAGCATTTCATTAACTGTCATAATTGTAATTAATATACTCCCTATTAATAGCATATCAATCACCCCATTTCTTATAGTTGTCATTCCCTCTCACATTTCGCCCCCTAAAATTGCAAACAAAAAAAAAATCTGTAAATTACATATCCAATAATGTACTTATGAAAATTATAATATAAATATATACATATAAAATATAGGCATCCAATAAATTACATATCCAATAATGTACCTATGAAAAATAGGTACATTATTAGAGGAAAAAAATAGGTAAGTTATTTGGAGAGAGAAAATAGGTTCATTTAAAAAAATTACTTTTAATAAAACAAAT